AAAGTCAATTATTCGAAAGAATTCCAGTCGGCAAATTTAAATTTTCACCAGTGCTGCGGCACTGCAATCTTTGGCTATGTCTTCGGCTACTCAAATATTTTACGTTTTTGATACTAAATTAACTTCTGAAGTATAATTTTTTATTGTTTTTATATTTTTCAATATATTTATTTTGTTTGTACAAAATAAAAAAATAATTATTAACGATACAATAGTCTTCGTTAGGCTTAACATCGACAAAAATTCAACACGAAGCGACACGCAACGGAGAAAAATTTCAACATGGGATAGGTTAATATATTTTTTCGTACATAATCAATTATCCTAAATATCGATTTTCCGAACAACTCCAGTCCCCAATTGATTCGGATAAATGACGCTTTACTGTATGTTGAAAATCTTTTTTTTTTATTGAATTTTCTAATTTTTCTATTGTGGTATTAATGCCACTAAAGGAACTATTGCTCTTTGCTTTTGATAAGAATAATTTCAGAGTCTCTATTGTGGGAATTATTGAAGATGAGGTGGTTTCTCATTTGCTGGCTTCCACAGTAATTTCTTTGAATGGTTTTAAAAGTAGAACAATTTTTTCAATGAGAGACCACTGATATGGGCTTAATGTGGGAATTTTATTATCTATAGCATACATGACCAGGGCTTTCCAAATCTATAGCATTTCCAGGCTTTTGCTGTTCCAAGTTTCTTTGCAACATGTAGTATATAGAATTCCAGCGAGTAGGAACATCTTGAATTAATTTGTGTTTTTGCAAACCTAACTTGTCTTGCAAATCTTCCAATTTGCTTACAGCTATAGCAGAATGATTAAAATGTGTGACAATATTTCTATTAACTGTGATTATAGTTTTCACATCTTGTTGAGAAAATAAGCATTCATTTAGTGTCAGCTGCAGTGTATGAATGAAGCATGATAATGTCTCTAAGTTGCAATTCCTGATTCCAGCTATCATATTTGCTACAGAATCTCTCAGCACTAAGAATATCTTATCACTTGTAAACTTATACTGTTCAAGAACAATGTTTATCTGTTCACTGATTCATGTAGCTGTGTGGAAACTTTCAAAGGGAACAATTCACAAAACAACTCTTTCCTGCTGAAAATCATCCTTCAACCAGTGGTCTGTTACACTTATAAAAGGAGAATTATTTGTAGTTGCTGTCCAAATATCAGCAGTTAAAGAAATATATTTTGCAACATAAATAGCTTTCTGAATTTTTAACTGAGCTTTCTGAAATATATCAGGGATGATATTTTCAGAAAAATATTTTCTGCTTGGAATATTGTAATTAGGAATTATTTTTTTTTAGTAATCTTTGAAATCCTAAATCAGACACAACAGAATATGGCTGTATCATTTCTCCAATCAAATAATGAACTTCTTTGGATCGTTGATCATTTATATCCCACAATTTTTTCTTCTCTATTAATTGAGTTAAAGTAGTTTGTCTTTGGACATGAGTTTCCGTTGTTACTGATGAACACTCATCATCTTTGGTTTCAGAACTTTCTCTTTTCATCTTTCCAGTTTCTTTTAAAATGTTCATGATGACATTTTTTCAGATGATTTATCATGTTTGTGGTGGTAAAAGTTTTAGCATTTTTTCCACCTCACGATATAGATGCCTGGCACAAATTGCACTTGGAAAACTTTTTGTTTTTATCTTTCTTAAAAAATTTCCAAGCAATACTGGAAGCCATGAGGGGTTTGGATTTAAGTCGTCATCGGGAAATTTTATTTATCATAAGACACTCAAGCCGTGTATCTCCAGGGATCAACTGACATATGATTTGACTTTCATCATAAAATATATTGCATTTGCCTGAAATCTTGTCATATGATACCACACATTTAACGATTTTTTCGGTCTTCATACGTTGGATTCTAAATAAGGTTATGTTTTTTGAATGATTTCTTTTGCTTTATTTTATTTATTTACTGATTTTATGGTCCCCATCGTGTTGCGAAATGTTAAAACTGCAAATCCGGTTTGTTTGTTACCGCTAAATCAGTCCCCAGTGTTTACAAAGCTACAATTAAGTCTAACATGTGTACAACGTCTTTCGAGGACATTAGCTGAAACTAAATCTTAAATATTTGGAAATAATAAAAAATAAATAGCATGTATCACACCAGGAAGCCGACACTACAGCACATGTAAATTGACACTCCACTGTCATAATCACAACTTTGAACATAAACATATCGGGTTTTATTGTAGCTAGAATGACACGGTTTGTTTTATTAGACATAGAAATACTTCAGCTTTTTAAACAATGTCAAAGGTTCCATGCATCAACAATTAACTGTTGAGATTTATCTTAGAAACTTTCCCAAACAAAGGAAGAGATTGTTGATTTTGAGACGATATTTGACCATCTCTTAGTTACCTGATCTGAGGGTGATGAAAATACAAGACAGAGAAAAATGCGTTTTTTCCACGTTATAATTAACCCTATAATTAACTCCAGGATCTCACACTATTAACGCAAAAAATTATTAACACTAATTGCCAATAATGCATGGCCGATTAATCAGTAATTGGCCATTTTGCTTATCGGTGCATCCTTAGTTGTAATAGAAAGAGTGTATTTGAAATAATATGAAATACTTGACATTGTGAATTCTTTATCATTTTAACCATATGTAGCCAATATAATGCTTTTTCATCAAATACGGTGTTATGATGTAGACATATTTATCTCTGGAAAGTAAAGATTTTACCCCAAAACTATTTTGATTCTTGGGAGATGCATTAGATTCTGTGGCCTTGTCTTCTTGAAGAACTGCTGATATTATTATTTTGCTTCCAGAATCAGGATAAGCCTGTAGATTCTGCATCAGAGGAAAATTTAGACTTTGATGGAATACCATATAAAGTGTCAGGGGAACTAAAGTGTTAGATAGTGCTGTGGTTGATAGTGAGAGTGATAGTAAAGAACTTTTAGAATCTGCTGCCAAACAGAGACATAAATGGAGGAAATCTGAAGATTTTTCATTTACTGTAGATATTATGAAACGATATAAAGCAGGGCAAGAAAACATAAGAATTTGAGATACTTGAATTGTTTTTTACCCTTCAAATTATTAATGAACTAAGGGAGAAACATGCCTGTATGCAAATCGTGACAACAATAATCCAAACTTTGGGTTATCTGAACTAGAAATTAGGCAGTTTTTGGGGTTGTTGCTTGTTAGTGGATACCATTCCTTGCCCTCTGAAAATGACTACTGGTCAGCTGCTGAGGATCTTTCAGCTCCTATTTTTGGCAATATTATGAGCCAAGATTGTTTCACAGTATAAAAAGATATTTCCATATTGTTGACAATTAAAATGCAGGTCACTCAAAAGTCACCAAAATTCTCCTCTTTTATGAAATTTTGAATGCTCAGTTTCAACAATTTGGCATCTTCCATCAATATTTGAGTATTAATGAGGAAATAGTACCTTACCATCACCTTAGCACCATTCAGCTAAAATTTTTATTAGAAACAAACCTATAAAGTTTGGATTCAAAATTTGGATGTTATGTGGAGTTGACAGATATCCATCCATACAATATGTAAATTTATTGTGGAAAAAGCGACGATAAAAATACTCCATTGGGAAGTCAAGTAGCATGTAGTTTGTTGGATGCAGTGCATGTTCCAGATTCACATTTTGTTTTCTTTGACAATTTTTTCACTGATCTATTATAAAAAGTAGCCTAAATAACTAAAATTTGTTGTATAACATTTTTTTAGTTGTATNAAAATGGAAAAAGTTATTTTTCTTTTAGATTTAAATAAATTTCCTTTTCAAAACGAAAAATGAAATTTCTTTCAAAAAATTCCCAAATAAAATTGTGGGTTTTTCCCCTTTTCAAGTTCGATCTCTCACAATAAATTTTAAAAATTTCAGATTAGAATTTATTTAAGGTTATTTTGCTACTCTCTATACAAATGTACAAAATGTTAAATTGTGTTATTTGTAGTTGGGAAGAATTAAATAAAAAGACAGTAACAGTAATCCCTCCATTTATGGAAATAAATGATAGTTACATAAAAAGTGTTTTTGTTATCATTAACCCCTTACATAGATATACAGTACATTTTAAAAAACTTTAGTTAAAGCTCTCCTACCCATTAAGAGTAAAATACACACAACACTTAACACCTCAATACTACTTCCAGCAGTCAAAAGATTTTAATATTCTAACATTTTCGGCCGTCTTTTAGAGGCCCTCTTCAGGATGAAACATTAAAAAACAGTTAGTAAAATACTGTGTTCTGAGAATATGGAATTCATCCTAGAGATTTCAGATATATAAATATATACTTGATTAATTAAGACATGTTTTATTCTTATAAAAAAATTATGTTAAAATGTGTATTCTAATATGTGAATTTCAGAGTATTTCATTCTAAAAAGATGAATTCTGTTTTTAAATATGTAACTGTTTTTGATTGTTTTAATTAGACAGAATTTGCATATTCTTGCTAATCCAGCTCTTAATAATCAATCTTCTCAATTACTCTGCGTACTTCCTAGTATGATTCCCTATGCACTTNGGCCCTCTTCAGGATGAAACATTAAAAAACAGTTAGTAAAATACTGTGTTCTGAGAATATGGAATAGATCCCATTTTAGTCAACTTTCTATGGTTTCATTTACATAGTTTTCATTTCTGCATTGCTTTTGTGGAATTAATTATTCATAAATTAGAGGGATTACTAATTACTATCTAAGTTAGTCACTTCAAACAACATATATTCTTATTAATCATAACAACTTAAGATGATGAATATTTTTAAAAGATATTGAAATAATATAGAACAGTTAAATTATAATTTAATTGGAAATTAAAATTTAATCTTAAAATTTTTTTAATCAAATTGATTTAATATTTAGTAATGTATGATGATGATGATGAAAATAATAAAATATGGAATTTATGTTTAATCTGTTAAGAGAGTTAGATTTTTGATAAGAATTTGCTTAAGCAACAAAAATGACAAAATAATGTATTCAAAATAANTACTTGGATTTCATTTCTGTGTAAAGTATTGCATGTCAATTTGCTACACTATTTTCCCACCCATCTCTAAAAAGAATTAGTACTGAAGGTGCAGGTCACCACATCACATCATTAGACAGGTCTATATATTCAGTAATCTGGTGCTTCTTTTTGTAAGGAATAGCAAAAGTCAGGCATATTTGTGTGTTGGAGAATTTTTTTGTCTCTACAAATAGTGGCAAACTCTGTAGAATTTTTTTTTTTTTTTTTTTGCAGCAGGACTACATATATTCTATGTATACAAAGGATGACATATATTAAGATCCAAAATAGCTCATGTTTGTTATTTCTATTTTTTATTATTTTCTATTTCAAATATTTTAATTGATCTTAGGAATGAAGTAATGGCATCAAATTTAGTTTAATGAATTTAAACTAGTTTATGTAAATTAACTAATTGTGAGTTGTTATCTAATAGTTTTTTGTAATTGATAGTTTATCACAGGGGTGGCCAACCTTCTGCATACAATGCGCCAATTTTCTGACAGACGAGTTCAGATGCGCCATATAAATCGAACACTTTTTATACAGTCTTACGTTCAATGTTAGGGGTTGATAAATAGAGATAAGAATATATCTGCTTCGCTTAGGAGAGAAAAGGGAGTAACTTAATCACGCAGTTGAATTAATTAATTTATGACAGTTTATTGAAGCACCAATTTACAATAGTCACCAATAATCTCCTGTATGAGAGGGTGATTGCTTGATGATGGTGCTATAGCTGCCAGAGTCTCGTTTGGTGAAGATTACTCTGCACCACAATTATTGGCACTGAAAATCAGCTTGGAATAACTTTAATCACAATAAATGTTTTCAACCATTTACACGCCTGTAAACTGATCGGAAATAAAGATCGCAAGACTCACAATACATGCATACACTGTAATTTACTATGTGGAGAACATTCATTTTATTTGAAAAATAGACTGTAACGAATTGTGCAACAAATGAACTTGCCAAGACAGACTATAAAAAATTTATTTTTCTATATAATATTTTTAATCGCAAAAAAGCCAAATCTGGCAATTTTACTCAGATGTAACTGAAGCGCCACTTGTAATCGTCCAATGCGCCATGTTT